TTTTTTTTTTTTTTTTTTTTTTTTTTTCATATTTTTGACCTTACGGAGCCACTGTGAATTTTTTTTTCTTTTTTAAGTCTACCTAAAGCTGGCTGGGCTTGGTAGCGCATACCTGTAATCCCAGCACTCTAGGATCACTGTGAGTGTGAGACCAGCCTGGGCTACATAGTGAGGTCAGTCTCAGCTACATACTGAGACCCTGTCTCAAAAAAACCAGACAAACAAAAAATAGAAAATATACAGTACTATAGAAAATAGAATATATATATAGATATATATCTATATATATCTAGTACTATACAGAGAGAGAGAATATAGGTACCATAGTACCTAGAAAATATACAGTACTATAGATGAAAATGAACATATATGGCACCTATTTTTTTAAATCATTTAAAACACACCACCACGTAAATATGTTCACTTAAAAAGTATGTGAACCCTTGGTGCTTTTCATGTCCAGTAGTTCTGGGCTTGGTAAGAAAATAAACAGCTGTAGCGTTGGTGTTTTCCGTTTTAATAGTAAAGCTAATTACCATTGTTGGCTACCAGTGCCTGTAGATATCTGGATCTGGGACCCATGGCCTGGCTGTGAGCCCATTCTACAGATGGGAAAAATGCCTCTGGTTCCTAAGCCATGGCCTTCGTGCTTTATACCAAAGCCTTGTGTGTGGAGATTGAATCCAGGGCCTTCGCACTGAGCTACGTTCCTCGCCCTTTTTCAAAACTTTGAAAGAAGGTCTTGCTAAGTCACTTAGCTGCCCAGGCTGGATTTGAACTGGGATCCTCCTGCCTCAGCCTCCCAGTGTGCTGGGATGATGAGTATATGCCACTATGCCCAGCTGTTTCAAGGCATTTGGGGACATAGCTTTTTGGTGGAGAGAGGTTGAGCTTCAGATCAGAAGACCTGGGCTTTTCTGTGCCTCATGCTGAGGGGCAGGAATCCAGTCAGCATCCAGGAAAGGCAGACAGACGGAGTGGCATTTGGTGTCATGCAGCCTGGGTGCTGGACACAGCCTGTCCCACACTGAGCAGTTTGCTCACGATATGCCATATTCCATGACCCAGTACCCTGTCCCAGCCCCTGCCTCCCCATGCTTTCTAGAAACAAACCCTCAAGGCTTTTCTGTGAGGAAGCAAAGTCAGGATGAGGAATGGAAGTTGCCCAGAGCTGGAGGCCCCAGGGAGAGCGTCTGGTGTGGAACTAGGCTTGGAGGGAGGACCCTTGCTTGGGGTCCAGCCTCATCCCTCAGGGTCGAGCCTCTTCCCAGGGAAGCGTCTAGACCCACCCCCCCTTCGTCTTTAGCAGCCAACCCCTTTCCGGGAGTTGGATCTGCATTCCCAACTCGTGTTCTTCGGGTGCTTGGAGACTTGTGGCCTCTGGAGCCCACGGAAATGTGTCGTCCCTGTCCCCGCAGGAAGTGGACCCATCCAGCTTTGGCAGTTTCTCCTGGAATTGCTCTCTGACAAGTCTTGCCAGTCGTTCATTAGCTGGACGGGGGACGGATGGGAGTTTAAGCTCGCTGACCCTGATGAGGTATGGCCCACGCCCTGGGGAGTCCTTGGAGCCCCTAGAGAGCAGGTGTCCTGGGAGGCCCTGCTTGGTTGCTGGCCCTGGGTGCCTCTGCTCACAGACCTGGGACCGACTCCCTCTCGGTCTCCTGTTACCAGGGGGCCGGGCTTCGAGCTGCGGTCCTCCTGTGGCCATCTGAAAGCTCCTGCCTAGGCAACATGTCCTTGTCCCTGGGCAGCCGAGCCCCACGGTGGGCCCCAGAGGCCTGGAGGGTTGGGTCGAGGTTCCCCGCTAGAGGAGGCCCCGGCACAAGTGATCCCCACTGTCCCAGGACAGCGTTACAGAAACCCTTGGCCCCTGGCACTGTGGAGCATAATCGGTCGCCTTCCTGTCCCCGTTCACGGGAACAAGTGCATGACCGGTTCCCGGAGGCGGTGACGCCAGCTTGTCCCCATTGCAGGCCTTCCTGGGTCTGTGCTCTTGGCTGCCGGGAGGTTTTGGTGACAGCCGGGGCAGGAGGCTGGGGACCTCGCTCCTGGATGCAGAGACACAGCTGAGGGGTGACGCCATGTCCCTTCCTGCATTAAAAGACAGGACAGAGCCCCCGGTGGCCCCCTGCTGGGCTCACATTCTCTAGGCTGGCAATGGGGGGTCCTTCACGTCTCTGTGGGGAGTTTCACTCTCTGTCTGTGTCCCCCAAAGGTGGCTCGCCGGTGGGGAAAGAGGAAAAATAAGCCCAAGATGAACTACGAGAAACTGAGCCGGGGCTTACGCTACTATTACGACAAGAACATCATCCACAAGACGTCGGGCAAGCGCTACGTGTACCGCTTCGTCTGCGACCTGCAGAACCTGCTGGGGTTCACGCCGGAGGAGCTGCATGCCATCCTGGGGGTCCAGCCCGACACAGAGGACTGAGGACCCGGGACCGCCCTTAACCCACCCCGGGCCCGGGGGACCCCGAGTGGGAAGCCCGTGCCGACCGACTGCTCCAAGGACCCCCTGCAAGGCGTCCGGGAAAGTCGCTGAGAAGCAGTGGCCTGATTTCATCCCAGGACGCGCCTCTCTGACAAGGCTGGACCCCTCGCGGAGCAGACCCCGCAGCTCCTGGACTCTGGAGTCTTCGGGCGGGCGGTGCCCCCGTCCTGTGGCAGCAGTCACAAGGGGCTCTGGGGAGCCAGCCTGTGTCTGCCCAGGCCTCGCCACGCAGCGGGTGGTTCCGACTGCGTGGGATTCTCTGAGGAGGAAGCGTGTCACGGGCGCCAGACCATTCGCTGCAGATTCGGGGGCTTCACACGGAAGAGCAAACCGTCTGTGCTGGACAGGAGTGGGAGGGCGGGGAGGAAACCAGCGTTGCCATTTCAGAAGTCTGTACATATTATTGTAATCTTCTAAGAGTTGCCATTGGAATCCTCGTACCATGCTATTTAACAGAAATTATATATTGTAATTTAAAGTAATTATGTAACTATTTGAGATAAGAATGCAGACGTCCACTATTTTATTCCGTTTTTCGGCAGCACACAGGAGCGGCGTTCTACAAAGATTTAACTGCCAGCACAGCGATGAAGAAGGATGTAAAATGTGCTATTTTCGTACAATATACCTAGAGGAATAAGGTCCGGGGAGGTCATCCCTGGTTTTTTCGCTTTTTATTGTTGTTTTGTCTTTTTGTTTTGCCTTGGTTGTTATCCGGCAAGGACTTTTTATATTTGGGGATATTTTTTTAAATAAGAAACTCAACGTTATTACCTTGGAGTGAGCCTGGCCTCTCCGTTTTTTTCCCTTACTTGTAAAGTAAAAGCTATAAAGCAGTATTTTTCTTGACAGATGGTATATGTTTTCCACTTTTATGCATGCCTTTAAATCAGTTTGTACACAGATGTCTTTTATTTTTTGGTGTTCACTGTGTTCCCCCAACAATGCACCTCTCCCTGACCACCCGTTTCCTTCCTGTGCCTCACGTTACTCTGTGATTAAAATAAGAATACTATTTTTGGAAATAACGCGACTCCTTTTCAGAGATCAGGAGGGATTTATGTAGCAGCTATTTTTACTGCAAAAGTAATTCACTGGAAAAAAATGTAATTTGTACGAAAGCTTTATTTTTATCTCAGCTGCGTGTAAAGTTAAGAGTATTGTACAGAGTGGAAGGGTGGGGCTCGGGCCGGGCAGGGGTCGCCTGAAACCCTGACCCTAAATGAATGCAGTCTGGCTTGCCCCGTCTGGACAGCACGCTCTGCTTTCTGCTCAGTGTTGTCAGCAAGATGCTCTTTGGGGGTTTTGGTTTTGTTTTCCTTCCCAGCTTTCCTGGACACAGAGAGAGCCAGACAGGCAAGAATTCATAGCCGTGGTACACTGGAGGAAAGGATTTTTGATCCAGCTGAAGTGTTCAGGAGCATGGAAGTCCACTGTGCAGTTCTGGCCTTTTAAGAAAGTCAACTCGCAATGGCTCCCGAGTGGGTCAGACTTGACTGCTTCCTGACAAACTGGCTTTGGACATTTACAGACTCGGAATTGTCGTGTGATGAGACTATGGAATGGGTCCAGGGCAAGCTGGGAGCAGCACAGCCAGCCCTGGGACGACTGCCTACGTGCCCAGAAACGACGCTTGCAGCACAGTCAAGCACAGGATATTTTTTCCAAGTGGGACCTATTTATCACTGGGACATCTGTTTATAATATAAACAGACATGTGATGGGAACATCTTGCTGGCAAAAGAAAGCATAGCCCTCAGCTCGATCTGTTACGAGTCTGAGCCACATTAAATTGCCCATTTGGGGCTGGTTTTTGTCAGCAAAGATGGCAGTTTAATGTCGTGCGACCCAGTGCTTTTGGAAATGTGAGTACCTAGGAGCCTCTGGCATGGTAATGGGCAGATCTGAAGCAAAAGGTTTTGTAATTTGGCCTTTCCGAAATAATAAAGTATTTGGTTTATGTAAACACCACCTCGTAATAGTTCTCATTCTTCCTCCCCACTCCTGAAATGAAGGTGGTGGGGGGATTTTAACTACACCCTTCACCGCCTCCTACTTCTGTCGGTGAGCGTCCAGTCTTTGACTGGTGTCTCCCCAGAGTCCACTCCAGGAATCCCAAAGTCGCACTCCTTCAAATGGAAACTTCACTAAGTAAAGGACTGCAGTGGGACTCAGGGGTCTTGAGTAATCGGGAGGAGACTCGGGAGGATTTGGTGAAGCAGATGACATGGGAGGTTTAAGCACTTCGGCATTTCGAGGCCAACAGCGGTCCTCGTCCCTTCACCAGTGCTGGCGGTGAGGTGACATCTGAAGACCAGTGTGGCTGTTCTCTGGGATCCTTGAGACCTCCGAATTCATGACACTGGCAGCCACCTTTCCCCACTCCAGGTGGTGAGAGTATTCACACCCCGGGGATCTGCAGCCACTACTACAACGGCTTTCTCTGCTCCTAGGGACCTGGTTGACTCATCAGCAAACCACTGGATGCACCAAGAACGGTTTCTAGGTTAGGGGCTGGGGTGGCGCTCAGGGAGAACCTTCTCCCAGTGTGTGATGGGCCAACGGTTCAGTCCCCAGCACCGCCAGAAAGTTCCCATATGAGAAATTAGAACCAATCCTAGATATTTTTTAAGTACTGTACTGTTTCTCATGTTTACTAATCTTTTTTAATGTTTGCTTTAAAAAAAGCTGGATTCTTCTACTTCTGCATTTAGTCTCTTCTGCCATAATTTGATGTGAGTATATGAAGAAAACCTGGCCTAACACAGATAAAACAGTTAAAACAGTAGCATTTAATAGCTGTATCACACAATTGTGGATATTCTTTTATATGATAAGACTTACACATGGCAATTTCTTAAACCTTTATTTCAATAAAATATGAAACGACACCAGATTCTATGCCTACCTTGAATTCAATTGATCTACCTTGCACTTTGGATGGCTTTTGCCTGTACTATCATTATTCACTGATCATTCGGAAACTGCTACAAATTGATGACACATTTTTGTACCCTATCACATGACCACAGTAGTTACTATCATCACCAGTCTTAACCATAAAGAACATGGAAACTATCAAGCTCACAATGACAGATACAAGTTTTCGAGAACCCACATTTTTACTTGAAAACTCAGATGTTATCATTGGCAATGCATCCTTCCCTAAACTGCTCTATTTGAAATGACAGGCCTGTTTCATGTATTTTTGAGAAAGAACCTTCCAAATACCAAAGACGTAATTTGCCAAATAGACATAATTTGTTAGTTGATCTCAGGTAAAAAGGTGTCCAGAAATAAAGTGACTAGTTTAGCTGGTAACTCAATCCACACCTGGATTTCCTGGGGACAGTTGCTATCCTTGAGCACCCAGCAGCTTTTCCATTTGATTACAGAGAAGCGAAAGATTCATGTTCTTTTAATTGACTTTTACTGTTTCATCAAAGAAATTCTTGAATGAGATTGGTCTTTTCCTTTTTGTATTTATTCTTCAAGCAAGTACACAGCAGTGAAGAACATATGACTTAGTGCCTCTGCCCGACTCGTGTTAAGGCACCAGCAAACTCACTCATCTTTGCCTTTGCACAAACAGTAAAAAAAAGGGAAATCTGTCGATGTTGTGAAAAGTAGTTTTGACCTTGAGCTGGCTGTGAAAGTGCCTCAGAGGCTACCAGAGTCTGTGGACCACGCTTTGACAACCGTTACGAAAGCAGAGGGCCTCACCCAAAACACAAGGCACAGACCTTGAAGGATGGGGAAAATCATCGATGGCTGTCTCCCATGCAGTGTACACCCTTCCGCTCTTACCCCTCCACGGCTTTTAAGGAAGATGCATTTTCATTCAAAGCAAAAAATGTATTGCCTGCTTTTCTGCATGATGGAGACAAAGTTCCTTTGACCGGGGTGTAGAGGATATTCTTCAAGTCCTCTTCCTGCTAGCCCTATCCTTCCATCCCTGTCCCTTTCAATGCTCCAATTCTAAACAGATTTTAGGGGGGCAATGTATAATTCACCACGTTTCTGACAGTTCAGAGTTAGATCGTCTTGAGCTATAAGTGTCTGTTTAATGCATGTTATTAGCTTTTTGTCCCTCCAACAAATAGCTGAGGCGGTCATGTAGCAAAGAGGAAAGGTTGGTTTGGGCTCAGCGTTTTGGAGGCTCCATTTCCTCCACTGCTTTGGGCGGTGGCTAGGCAACACATCGTGGCACCAGCTCGTGGTGCAGCAGAGCTGTTCGCCTCCTGGCCAAGCAACAAGAGAAAGGGAGAAGCCAGGGTAACGGTCCTCATTCAGCATCACTCCCAGTGATCCAAAGATGACCCCGGAAGCACAACCTTGTGAAGGGTCCATCGCCTCTCAGCACCAAAGACCGGGGGCCACGCCTTTGGGGAGTCTCCAAGGCCCAAATCGTGTCCATGTGACGTCTCCCCTAAGAACCATCTCGTAGTTTAAAGAATGACACGGCTAGGAGGGGTGCTAAGGAAGAGGTTTCTAGGCCAAGCTGAATGTGAATCATCTTGTGAGTACTGCTGAGACATTCTAATGCTTTATCAAAAGTTACATACAAAACGATTAAGTTGCGTTCACCATGTGACTATACAATTCAACTCCATGGCCTCTAATAATCAATAAATACTTTTACAAAGGTAATTACTCGGCTTTTTGCCCTTCTGAACTTCTTGTCACGGTTTTCTAAAACCTTAGCCAAAAAATGAGGCAAGGAAAACGAAATTAAGTGTTCAGAGATGTCATTTTTCTTAACAAACTCAAATCTGAGGTCACACAGACATCAGGTAGCTGTGGTCCATCGTCCTGCCTTTCCACCCAGTGGCGAAGAAGCCGTCGAGCACACACCACTTTTGGCTCTTTCCTCACTGGCAGAACCATCAGCCGCCTGTGCAGAGGGGACAGTGGACAACCTGGGCAGAGAGCAGCTGGGGGCCTGGTGGAACCGCTCAGTGGGGTTTGTAAGGTCTGGGGAGGAAGGGGGAGGGTGAGTGGGAGCAGGTGCCATGCTGTGGGTGGCAGCCAGCTTCCTGGTGGACTCTGAAAACATCAGACAGGTCAGCGGGGTTCCTGAACTTTGGAGCCAGCTTGGGCAATCCCCCCGCCCCTTCTGCTGTGCCCGGCCGTGTGACCTGGGGTGTGTGGCAGACTAATCTCTGCTTCAGTTTCCCTCCCTAAATGGGGTTGCAGCGGGGCTGCGGGTTTGTAAATCTGTCTGGTGCAACCTAGAGAGCCGTCAGTAACCTGCGGGGGCAACACGGACATCGTGAGCACAGCGCTGCAGGCAAAGCATTCTGCACCGGGGTCAGGAGGAAAATAGGCTTCCCGCAGCCATGTGTCCCTTTCCGTGCCAAGTACCTGGTACAGAGCCCAGCGATGAAACTGACACTTACCCGAGCCAGGCCTCCCATCCCCACTGGCACCCTCTGACCACAGTGACGGCCCATGTGCTGCGGTTGGAATGTTCCCAGCAGACCGGGCCAAAACTGAACCACCATTGTGAGGGGGCCGAGAGGGGCCCGGGTCGTGAGCAGTTGGGGGAGAACGGAGCGGCCCCCTATTGTCCTACCTCACACATGGTCTCTTGGGCTTCTGGCCCTTAATGAGCCAGCAAAACGGTCCTCCCAAGGGGCTGGAGACTCCCTGTTGGCCCATCCATGCTCAACCTATGAAAAATAAATTCTTTCTTTTTCTTTTGTTTTACAAAATTCCCCAGTGTGTGATGCTCTGTCATAGCGGTAGACAAAAACGAATGAAAGCCCTAAGTCATTAGAAACGCCACCAGGGCCTCCCAAGCTTTCATCTCCTCCTCCCACAAAACAGAGTCCACAGCCCTTGGTTTGACTTCAAATTACCCTCGAACTTCCTACCCAGAGAACACACAGTCCTCGTGTCGGGCGACTGGTGGCAGCTCATTTGGTTTGAGCAGATGCAAGAATCCCGAAATCGGGGCCAGATGTTAATCTGTTCTTTTCTGTAGGAAGAAAAACAGAAGGGTGAGACCCGCAGCAGTGTGGGGGAAACCCCAGTTGTGTAAGAACTGTGCAACTCCTGGGCGGGGTTCAGACGTTCGAGCTCTGCTTGAAATCAGCAAGGGAAAGACCGTTTTTGGTCACTCCGTGGTGACGACATCTTTGGAAGTACAGTTTGCACAGCCTCTGTTCTGTGTGCTCTGAGACCCCTCAATGCCTCCCCAAGTCGTGTTCAGATGGGAAGCCAGCCTGGGATTGCCTCATCGGACTCCTGCCAGTTGTGTCTGAGCCTCTAGCTTTGTCCTCTACAGACGCAGGATGTGCTGAGCACACGTGTGTGCATTTGTGCGGTGTGGGGTCACCAACGTGGGTTCGTGAGAGCTTGTGGGTCAGAGGCCAGAGAATGGAGGTGGGAAATAAAACAGGAGCCTCAAGTAAAAGAGATTCTGTGCCAGCTGTGATCATTGCCACGAAAGCTCACAGCGAGAAACTCCTTTCCAGTTTGCTGGTAAACCCCACCCCTCCACTGTTGGCAGAGATTATTTTTCATTGTGAAGCAGGCAGGTAATTAACAATTGTGAAAGACAGCACCATTGGCCAAGATAA